ATAAAAATAAAATGATAATAAAATAAAATAATGGTGGCCTTTAAAAAAAGGTTTTTCAGAATCACCGCTACTCCAAAATAAAGGCGAGACGCTCGCTTGACACAACAGTCGAAAGAGAATGTTGGTCTGCAGAACGAGTTCAGTGGAATAACTCATTTTTCAGCCCGAGCTGCACACTTCTCATCGAAGCGGTGTCAAACGCGCACTCCTGCAACGCGAGCAGCCTTCACTCAAACGGCACTGCGTTGATGAAGACACGCACACCACTCCCCAGCGCTCACCGGCTCGCATCAGCATAAATGTGAGACCACAGAACAGGTTCAATGAGAAACCTTGCTCTCAGAAGGAGCGGCACGCGCCTCACTGAAACAAACGCGTGCTTCCGTGGCGCCTGCAGCCTTCACTCAAATGATGCGGCGTTGATGAAGGCACGCACACTGTTTCTCAGCGCCCGCCCGCTCACGTCATCATAAATGTGAGACCGCAGAATGAGCTCAGTGAAGAACCTCGCTCTCAGCAGGAGCGGCACGCGTCTCACCGCAGTGGTGTCAAACGCGCGCTCCCGCGGCGCCAACAGTTTTCACACGCCTCTCCTCAACACAGGCCGGTCCACATAGACATGAATGTGAACATGCAGCCCGAGCGCGGCACAGAGGCACGCTCAGAGCCCTTTCGAGGAAGCCTCGCCTTGGGTCACGCGGAACACACTTCCACGGCGCATGACGGCGGTCAAGGCGGTAGACTGGCTGACGTCCATAAAAAACATGACATACCACCTAAACGCACGACCACTCCACAAACGTTACGCAGAGTGGCTGCGAGCATGCTTGCCAGACAGATGGATGTCCAAGCTGATAAGCAGGGGTTACACGCTGCAATTTGCAGCCTGATCCCCTCTATTCGGAGGAGTTTTAGAGACGGTCCTGTCATTACCAGACCAGGTCTCATACCTAAATGCAGAAGTCCAGGAATTTCTAGTAAAAGAGGTACTCACCAGGGTTCCCGACAGAGAGGAAAACACAGGTTTTTACTCACGTTACTTCCTGGTTCCAAAACGGACCGGAGGAACGAGACCGATTTTGGACATGTCAGTTTTCAACCAGGCGATCGTGGACAGACCATTTCACATGTTGACAACCAAACAACTGTTGGACAACATCCAGAGAAATGACTGGTTTAGTTCCATCGATCTGAAAGAAGGCCTACTTCTCTTGTGCCTCGTACGTTCTCAAAGTGTGTGGAGACGGCCCTGCAACCGTTACACAGAGCAGGGATGAGAGTTTTGTTGTACCTAGACGACCTGTTGCTGCTGTCACACTCCAGACGGGAAGCAGCGGCACAGGCTCAGGTGTTGACATCACACCTGCTAATTCTGGGCTTCGCCATAAATTGGGAAAAAGCTCGATTCTCCCGGCCCAGACGATTGTTTATCTGGGAGTGGAGCTAAACTCGACCGCCATGAGGGCTCGTTTATCACAGATGAGAATCGACACTGTAAGAGTCCAGCTCCGCCACGTAAGACCGGGCAGAGTAGTAACAGCTATTTCCGTCATGAAGCTGTTAGGAACTATGTTGTCAGCTCACACAGTAGTCCCGCTGGGTTTACTACACATGAGACGCCTCCAGAGATGTTTTTGCTCGTCTGCGCGTGGATCCGGTAAAGCAAAAGAGACGGAGGATCACTGTTCTTCCCTCTGTGAGAACAGATCTCTGACACTGGGAAAACCCCCTGGTTCTGTTGGAAGGAGTCTCCGTCAGTAGACCTACAGTGTCAGTCAAGTGTCAGTCTTCACCGATGTGTCGTTGTCAGGTTGGGGGGGGACATGCCTATCTCGAGCTGTAGGGGCGCTGTGGCCTCTCACACAAAAGCTCATATAAACGTTCTGGAATGTCGCACGGTTCTGCATGTGATTCAACACTTTGCTCCTGTGTTGCAGAATCAACACATTTTGATTCACACAGACAACAAGGTTACTGCTGCTTACATAAACCAGCAGGGGTGTGTGCGCTCAGTCTAAATGTTACACATTGTGAGAAAACTACTGTGTTGGGCACACCAAAATCTGTTCTCCATCAGAGCAGTGTTTACTTCTCCGGTGTTCTGAACAAGGGGCAGATGTGATGTGAAGGGGTGGTCCGCGTCACGGGGACTGGACCCTCCACCCCAATCTGATGGCCCAGACGTGGCAGAAATTTGGCAAAGCAGCTGTGGACCTGTTTGCGACACGAGAAAACGCTCAGTGTCAACTATGGTTTTCACTGAGCCCGCGAGACGAACCACCGCTGGGGGTGGACGCATTTTCTCACAGCCCATGGCCCAAAACGCTTCTTTACGCGTTCCCCCCACCTCCTCTGATATTACGGTTTCTGAACCGAGTTCAGGAGGAGGGAGCTCTCCTGGTGGCTCCCGAGCGCGTGAACGCACCATGGTTCCCGGTTCTACGACGCCTGTTATCGGGGCGCCCATGGAAACTGCCGTGGTGGGTGGACGCTCTCCTCCAGGCGGGAGGAGCGATCAGGAGTTACCCAGAAATAGGCCAGCACCTGTGGGTCTGGCCGCTGAGCGGTTCCACTTAGAGAGGATGGGTCTTCCGCAAGATGTAGTGCGCACAATCCAGGTTTCACGTGTTGCATTCACCACAGCGCTGTACACATCAAAGTGGACAGCTTTTCAACGCTGGTGTACAGAGAAAGGTGTAGAGGTCACCTCATTTCCATTAGGTGGCGTGCTGTCCTTTCTGCAGCAGCTGATGGACAGAAATCTGGCATTCAGCATGATTAAAACGTACGCTGCAGCCATCTTTTTTGTATTAGAATTAGAAAATTAGAAAAATTAGAAAGAGTTATTAATTTTGTTCTGTTACTTTAAAATTATTATGATTGAAATAATTGTTTGAAAAAAGGGGCAGATATAAGATTTTTTCTTCTTTCTGCTGCCTTTCATTTTAAATATTTTGTACCTTTTTTAATATTGTTATGGAATTGTTTTGTACTTTTTTAAAATGAATAAACTTTATACCATACCATCTCTTCCTGTCACAAAGGTTTCGGGGACAGAACAGCTTTTAATCATCTGCTGATGAAGTGTTTTTAAAAGGTGTACAGAGACGCAGACCTGTTTCACGTCCACTTGCTCCACAGTGGGATTTAACGCTGGTCTTGCGAGCCCTGATCAAAGATCCGTTTGAGCCACTGATTCAGGTTCCAATTAAATTCTTGTCTCTTAAAACAGCCCTGCTGCTGGCTTTAACATCTGCTAAGAGGGTGAGTGATTTATCTTCCCTCTCTGTCGCTTCGTCATGTCTTAGAATTCAGGCTGACGGCAGCTCAGCTGATCTAAGACCGAATCCAGCATTTATGCCTAAAACATCACAAACTCTTTTAAATCAAGAGTGATATCTTTGGAGGGGTTCCCCCCCCACACAAATCAGAAGAAGAAGCATCTTTTCATTTTCTCTGTCATGTGCGGGCGTTGACGTGTTACATAGCGCGCACAGCTGCAATGTGTCAAACTCAACATTTGTTTGTGCATTATAGAGATGCATATGCAGGTCGCTCGTTATCCACCCAGCGCCTGTCACACTGGCTGTGTGAGGCCTTTTCTGAAGCCTACGGAGCATCAGATTTAGAGCCTCTTGTCAACCTCAAAGCACACTCGACCAGGGGTATCGCATCTTCGACTGCTCTGCATAATGGTATGTCAATGCAGGACATTTGCACTGCGGCCACGTGGTCAACACCCTGCTCATTTATTCGCTTCTATCTACGTTATGTGACGGCTCGTTCCATGACACATTCTGTCCTTAGTGCCTTAACAGAATGAATATTGTTGTTTCATGAAACCCCGTTTAAACTCACATCTGTCTGCATGCATTACAGTGTGAGATGTTGTTATCAGCCACAAGTTGTGATTGTTATTTTGGTTCTATTGTCATTAATCAGTTCATGACTATTGTTACCAATCAGTTCATTTGATTAATAATTAGTTAACTTATTATTAATCTGTTCATATTGTTCAGCAGTGAATCTGTTGGTTCATGGCCCTTTTTCAGCATCTTCCTTTCCCCGTTGAAAGATTTCCGGGGCGTTCATGCCCTCAGAACGCATAACTTCACAGCATGCGTCTGTGCATGGTACGCATAATTACGCAACGTGTAATTATGCACATGGAGAGCTGAGGGACAAGACATTTTTTTGGCAAGCTGCC